TGCATGGAAGGAGAGAGGAGGAGAGCAAGTAATCCAGAGGTATTGCCGAAATCCTTCGCTAATCCCCCGCGTTCGTGTACGCCGAGTAGCTGTGCTCAGGTCATGCAAGAGGTGGTGGTCTGCCTCTTCTCTCAGTTCCTTTTTGGACGGCTGTTACTGACGTGCATTGCAACCTTTTTGTCCCTCCTTCGTGAAGGTGAAGAAGGTTGTGTAGCTGTACTCCTGTAACCCCGCAGGTTGGCAATCGGAAGCGTATGGGGAGATGACAGCAGCTTGTTGAACGGCACGCACGTTGAAACAGTCGTGTGGCCTCACTTCCAAAGTTCTAGTGCCGCTGTTGTTTGCAGCAGGTCTTCTGAATTCTCCAGGGAAAGAACCCGTGGGCTGGAGAGACGGCTTTCTTTTGTTGTGTAAAGTTCTGCTCGGATTTGGCTGAGGAGCTTTTCATAATCCTTGTTTCCCTTTTGCTGATTATGTTGTTAATGTGCCAAAATGAGTGTGTGTTAGCATACTAATCCAAAACCGGGCCTGTGCTGCTGTAGCGACAGCATCACCTTGCTTGTGCTAGCACTTCGGGCAAGAGATCTCCCTCCGCTTTCTCTAGAATCGGTGCGTAGCACTTGATGGTTGAGTCCTTTCCCTGGACAGCGGCTGCCGTCTGCTGTGTGTTAATGTCATACACCTTAACTTGTGCTGTGATCTGGAAGGTTAAGGTTCATGCATCCCTGCTGCTAAGTTATCCTTATTTATGATCTTCCCCTCTCCACCCCTCTCCCAAAACTACAAAAATATTAGAAGAACTTTGGTTGGTAAGCAAGTTAAATACCTGGAAGACTGAAAAATACACTGGCAACTTTAACCCATCTTCCACTCCCTATGCATGTAAATGTCTGTGCATAATTTCTCATAGTGGTCAAGTTTCATCCAGAGAAGAAATAGATTCAAAGGGTGAATTGGGGTTGTATTGCAAGCTGAGACTTTTTGTGGGGTCTCTGTCTCATTCTTTTCCAAAGTTAGAAGGTGTTAGAGAACAGGAGAATCCCAGCAGAATGGGCAAAGGCTATGCAAGAGCAGTGTTAATACTTTGCTTCTGGAGCTTTTTTTTTTTTTTTGCACTAAATTCTTCTTTTACTCAAGTAACTTTTTAAATTTGGATTGTATTTCCCTTGCCTTCTACTTTGATGTTAGAAGTCTAATGGGCAAAGTAAGTGCTGAGTTTAACTAGCAGTCTCTGGTTGGCAACTTTCTGGGCAAGATTTCTGCATGGTTTTGGACAACCAAGTTTTTGACCTGCGTCCTAAAGAGTGTCTTGTAGTACCTTTGTGAAGAAGAAAGCATAAGGCTGTTAGTCTTCAAGTGAGTCCTGTAGCTGCTGTGGATTACAAAGCTTTGTAACAAACCTGTGCTTTGTATTCAGTCCAATTGAACTAAAAATAACAAATAAAATTTCCTTCATATTGATAGACCTGTTTCTTTGGTGAGCTCTGTCTCAAATGAGGCAAATGCTGTTTGAGATCCAGTGGTATAGAGATGGGAGTGGGGGAATCGTTTAGCTTGTGATCATTGTACTGGTGACAATTTTCTTTCAGTTTCCTTATCTGCACAAGAATAAAGATAACTCGAGTATTTGTTGGTGAGATGGTTAGATTGTATAAGGACTAAGTATTCCTGAACAGACCACAAATAAACAAGTTGCATCACTATTAAGTGAGGGTTACAGAGAAATCCTATGTAAGCTGTCCTGTGTGTCTGGGCACTATCTAGTCTCAATATTGAATGAAGGAAAAAGACTGAAAAAATCTTGTAATATAAACTGGTCTAAAACAGGCCAAGAGAGTTAAAGTCTCAGGGGAGCTCTAGATTCTGACTTTCTTTGCAAGCTACTGTTTTTAATAGGTTTTGAGTTGATGTCTTGTTTTAATTTTATTGTAATCTGTTAATTCAACTTGAATCTAAAATATCCTGCAAACCCTACAGTCTGTAGAGCATCTGAGTAGACCGTGCTGTTGTTTACCAAATGCCAACATTGATCTAAGCTCTTGCTGTGAAATCATGATGAAAACCTGATAGGTTTAAACTTAAGGCATGAGAACGAGAGGTGCGGTGAGGTAAAATTCTAATTGGCGCAGTTACAGCTTTTCATATAAAGCTTGACGTAGTGGTTCGGGTTGATGGTTGAGTAACGATACCTGGTCCAGACTTGGTTACACAGGTGCTGGAAGGTGGGTGGTATTTAGTTTGTTTTTGGAAGTTTAAGCTTTGTATTTATCTGTCTATTATAGAAGCATCTCTAGTAGAAACTGTAGTTTTCCGAAAGTCCTATGGGACAGCGTAATTTATCGGAGTGACAGATTCATTGCAAACAGGATCTTTTTAGGAGTGTGCTTTATTGACATAGCTGTAATGCTTTTACAAAACCTTGTTTTAGCTGAGTCACTATTGTCATCGGCTATGGAATGTGTTTGGATGGGAGTGTTCAGCTGGAGTCTTTGGGGAAAAAGTAATAGCATTCAAGCCCATTGACATTTGGAAAAGGCAGTCTAAATGATATTACAGATCAGAAATTGATGACTCATTATACATGCTAAAGCCCTGAACAGAAGTGTAGCGCAGATCTTTGTGTTTTCCAGTTCTTCATTCAAGTTAAAAATGTGTTGAAAGAGCTGGTATAACATGGTCATTATAAGATAATGTCCCAGCTTCCTGTCACCAACTATTTGAGATAAGTGAGTTTTTGTTTAGAAAAAAGTTTTTTTTAAAACTGGGTATTTTTTACTATTTCCATTGGTTTTAAAAACAGGCAGTTTGGAAGAGGAAAAAGCCTAACAGGTGCTGCAAAAAAGTTCTTTCACTTGATAAGAAAGTGAAATACGTGAAAATAGAATAGGTTAAAGTAGTTAATACTGTCTGTTCTTGTTCTCCTATTCATTTTGTTCTACTTTAAATTTTTCGAAATATTTTAGGACAAACTTCATCTTTTCTACTTTAGTATTATGTGGTGTAGTGAGGGGGGGGTCTGTTAAATTTTTTTTGTGTACTATCTACTTTTGCTGTACAGTAATCAGGCCATCTTCTACTAACAAGGGTGTCTTCTTAACAGAAAAAATAACCTTATAGTTACAGACTACATAACATCTGCATTTCAGTCTGGGATTTTGGAAAGCAGTTGTGTTCACGTTCCATTTACTTTAAAGTTGTTTTCTTGTTTTGCTATGGGAACTGGTTAAACTTGTGTAGTAAGACCCGAAATGGTATACTAACAAGATTTTTGGCCTGATCTCTGTAAATATACAGAGGTCAGGAATTCTGCAGCAACATGTATGAATTAAAATATTATGTAAGAAGAAGGATTTATTTTTGGCTTCTTTTGGGTGGCTAAAACTACCTACTATAATGCAGAATGCATTGTTTTTTCCAGTAGTTCTGTTTCTGATTTCTGAGAAATGGCTTTTTTTTCTTTTCTTTTTTTCCTGAAGGATTTGTAAGACGATATCTGGGGATAAGGATGTCATTGTTCCTTTGGGTATATCGCTTCAGTTCCACCTCTGTTAAGTTTTAGTGATAATCTATGGGTATGAACACATGGAAGAAACAGATTGTTATAGCAAAGAGCAACTGCTTAATAAGTTCTCATGTCTGAAGAGTGAAGCTGGACAAATTTTAACTAAATTAAAATGCAGATTGTAAAAGAATCAAACTTTATTTTTTTTAGTTCTCCAGCTGTTGCAATCTTTAGTTCAAGTTTGGCGTTTTCCTTAAGTGGTTCCTGGTGGACCAAAGCAAAGAATTAAGTGAAGTAGGTCAGAATAATAACTTAATAACCTTTTCTAGCCTTAAATCTAAATAGGTAACCATCTAGTGTGACTAACAGCTAGCAATAAGCTAAAATGACAGAACTTAGATTGCTCTTGCAAAGTCAATTAAAAACTTGTTTAGTTTTCCATAAAACCTGCAAAATATTTCAACATTTGTACCTCCACATACTGTAAGCACATGACCTTTTCAGAAGATTGTACATATGGAAAGCAATCTGTACACCTAAAATGAAACCTTACTTCTGATCTCATTTCTTGCAGAGTCCGCAGCAATCGAGGAGTCACACTGAGTTCAAGGTCAGAAGTGCTTTACACATGAAATCTACTGTCTCTCTAGCTGATTCTGCCGTGTCACCATCTCAACAGGTAGAGTGCTTTTGTGCCTGAGCCATGCAGCAAGTGTAGCTGTTCCTGGTGTGGTTGTCCTGTGTCAGTGTGTGGCCAAAGGCGCGTTGAGGCCTTTGGGTTTCTTCTTTGGGGAACGTGTCAAGGAGACAAGAATGCATGGCAGATCTGTCACAAAAGTACTCTAAGGAAAAGCCTAGTAGTTTGGGGTTTGATTTTTAACGCTCATAGAGTTTAATAGTGATAGAAGAAAGCATTCTATCATTCCATCAGAGCTTCTGTTCTGAAATGGAACAAAGCCAGACACATGGGGCATCAGTGGAGGGTCCACTTAGTCAAAGCAGTGTTTTGCTTTGGGTCATTTTCCCCTTGAATTCTAATTTTTTTGGCTGCAATGATTTGGGAGGAAATATCTCGCTGGATTCTCTGAATGGGAGGAAGATGGTCTACCACTAGGGAGAAAGGAACTCCTAAAGTGTTACTCAAAAGAATGCAAAATACAGGTCAGCTCCTGTAATAGGGTGTTTGGGGCAGGAGTAGACATGGAAAAACTTTTCTTTGTAAGGTTGACATAAAAAAGTTTCACTTCCTTCTAATTATAACACTATTTTTGCCATAGTTAGAAGTTACTTCTTGTTTTGGCCTGGTTTGTTTGGATAACTTTAATTTATGCTTCAAAAAGCAGTTAGTGCATACTCCTTCAGTGCTAGATCACTGATAAAACTAGAATCTTTCCAGATTTTACCTTTCCCCCTGAGGTTTTTTTCTTGCAATAAGAAGCCGTGTTTTGAGCCTGACCTTTTTCTGCCTCTTTTGTTTAATACGTATACGTTGCTGTAGACTCTGATAGTAGTGGTAGAAGTAGCATACTACTTGTATAGGCTTTAGTAATTGAAGCTCCTTCTCATGTGTTCAGTGATTAGCAAACAAAAAAAAAAAAGGGTAGACTTATTCTAGTATGTTCAAAATCTGCAGTAAGCAACCAGGCAGGGAAGATGCTCTGTTCTTCGTTGTGGATGAATTTATGTTTGAGAATGCAGTGAAAACTTGTCAGTCCAAACGTTTTGAATGTAGTTTTAATGTCTCTGATCTGCCTAGTTGTAACAGAAGCCAGGGGTGTCCTGATGAACTCGGGGCTGAGGGGCAGTCATTTGTATCCCATAAGGTTGAGACTTTTAAGTGTGGCATCTGAAAGGATTCTATTTCCTGAAAGTATGTCTGATGTAAACTAGTTTGAAGAAGTATAAGGCTCCGTAAAGTTCCTTTCAGGAACTTCTCTTTGAAATCAGAAAAATTGTATAAAAAAGATACCTAGTGTATAAGATATTAAAATATGGCCACATGTACTACTCCATTACCTGTGCAACTGAAGCATATACCTTTAAATTTGTCACCTCTTAGTCATGTTATTTCATGTTAATAACTAGCAGTTTGTAATGTTGTTTGTTGTTCTTTTGAAGTAGTAGAAATTTTGAAGTAGTTGGAAATCAGTGTAGCATTAGATGAACTTTGCTGTGTGTCCCTGTTCCTGCCTTCCCAGTGCTATGGAGAGACATTTAAGCAGGATTTGAGGTACCCAGCTCCCTAATACGAAGACAATGGCTGCACTGGCTTTGGAGGAGCCTCAGGAAGGGGCTATTTAACCTTAGACTTTGTGGAGCCTTCAGGAGTAGAGTTAGAGCTGCCTTTTGTCGCTCACCTCAAGCAGGGATGGCAATTAGTGGTGGCATTTGCCATTCTCCATTTGAAATGGTGTTGAAGACATCTTGCTGAACCTCCAGTTTGTATTTTTCATTGGTTATTTGAAAACTGTTAAATCAAAACAGACCTCAAACCAACCAGCCCAAACACCACCATCCCCCAAACCCAAGAAGGGAGCATAACATGCATAACATAGAAAGTTAATGCAGCCATGCTATTGTAGTAATAGACTGAGGTGTTGGGTTTTAGATGCAAAAGTTGTTATATTTTCTGTGCAGGATAGGGATGACAAGATGAGCTTACTTTCTAGAAGACTGCAAAGCTTGTTTAAAGCGTTTGATAGTTAGACCTCTGAGTCAAGGTGAATGATAGTTACTCTTCCATGCGTGGTAGGATATAGAAGAATAAAACAGCTTGTTCAATAATTATCTACAGTACTGCCAATTCTATTTTGGCAGAATATTCTAAAGTTCTTTTTGTTTGTTTAGTTGGTTTTTTTTCATAATACCGCTCTCTACCTTTTGCCCTATTTTTCCTTAGCCTTTTCTACCCACCCCCACTGCACCAATCACTTAAATCTCTCTCTCACTTGGCCATTTCCTCTCTGAAAGTTTCTGCATCTTACCAGACTTGTTAGCCACTCTTTTAAGCAGAGACCTGCGTAAAAGCTGGAAGACTCAGAAATACAGCAGTCTCTTCTACAATCTCCAAAACAAAAGGGAATTTTTTAGAATCATTTGCATATATTTGGCTGCTTGTGGGTGGATTTGGATGCTCCTGGGAGTTTAAACCTGCAGTACTGCTTGTGTCTCTCTGTTCTTCTACTTCCTTGAACCAGTAATTTAAGAACCTGTTGGCCTATTTAGTCGAATTTCATAGAGGGAAGAGTCTCAAAGATAGTTGAGCTTTATAGGTTTGGTGAATAAAAGGTAGCCGAGTAATGGAGGGTTCCAATAGCAGTAATAGTCACTGTGGTTTCCTATCTTACCGGTACCAAAGAATTCATGTAGGGGAGAGTAAGTAAGCAAGCAGACTTTGGGTTTGATAATCCTAAGTACAGCTCCTTATAGTTTTTGGTGTAGGAGAAAGTGAGAGCACTTGCTTGCAGCTGAAGTATTGTGTGGTGACTGTTTGAAACCCTTATTATGCTATTTTAATGTTTGTGTTACAACAGCAACTGAAAATCATGTGGCTGTAGCAGCTGGAATTTTAATCCTTTTAATTATGACAGATTTTCAAAGCATGTTCTGGCTGATTTGATCAGCTGACTGTATAGTATGTACAATAACATCAAGTGATTGCACAAATTCTGAGAGCAGTGGTCACCTCAGTGGAACGGGATGTATTTTTAGGTTTCTCTGCTAGTAACAGTCAAGTGTGTGTACTTAAGCATCTCATATGAACTGCAGCTAGTTGGTGACACTTCACTATCAGAAAAGGACAGCTGTTCGTTCTTGCTATAGTCATTGATCTGACACTATCTTCTCACCAGATTGTGGCAAGGAACACAATGGGGTATAAACACTGTAAATATTATTGGTACATGTTTTAATGACAGGTATTTTTCTTCAGGCCAGCAATGACGCTGTTTGCTAGCCCTTTCAATTTTCTGTATCAGAGTAACTGAAAGCCCTTTGTTACCTCCAGCAAGAATTGTCTTTATCTCCCCTTCACCCAACAGTTTTTTCCTTTACAAGGCAATCTTTGGGAAGAGGGTGGTTCTTGTTCTCAGTGTAGTACTAGTGATACGTTAGTTCTGGTTCTGGTTCTTCAAAGGAAAACGATTCATATGTGGATGCCCTTAATCAATGAATCAAAGAGGTGTTAAGTTCTGTGGTTCATGAGGTTAGCTTACAAAAATGGAGTTGTGATCATTTGTTGATTAATGAATGTACTAATTCTTGAGGGTCTTATCCATTATTTCACCAGTTTTGTAGGGTTGTTTCGTTTTTTGCCTTTGGACTTACTTTGCAATTTGATACTTGAATTATATCAAAAGCCTTAACTGTTTAAGCAGTCCAGGAACTCATGGCTGCCCAAAACAGTTGTTGAGTTTGAAGCCCAGGTATTAAAATTAAAAATGCAGAAAAAGGACATTTAATATATATGTAAAAGGCCTTTGTAGCAAGCTATAAATAAAATGTGACATTCTGACTAAATTGAAGTTCTGCAGCAGGTGCTATGAAGTTAAGGCTTGTAAGCAGGACACACAATTGTAGTGAATGTCCTGCTGATGGTCTACTGATGTCCAAAGAGATTTTAAATTATATATTTAGTTTAGGAGCCACAGAAATTAAATTTTAAGAGAAATGGCAACTAATATCAAACTATCAAACTTTATAGTGACCAATAAAATTCTAATTTACAGAAACTGAGAGAATAGGTTACTTCATTTATTTAATTCATCAGATGCATAACTGATTCTTTATAAAAACAATTGTAAGGAGTTGTTACAGAACTAAATTAGCATGTATCTATTGGTAAAACGTGTTATTTTAGTGTCTGCTCTCGCTTTCATATGCTGTTAGTGATATTTGATGTTTTCACCAGGTTTTGTCTCCTTCTTACACACTTCAAATTTCATTTGCTTGTATGAAATCATTAAGTTTTGATGAATTTCAGTTTATGTGTGAAAGGGGTCCAGGAGCCTGACAAAAGCCAGTATCATCGTGCAACTCGGGTTTCACAAACTGACTTGTAAAGACCAAAATAGTGTGCTAGGGAGGAGGATGTTTTAACTGTCTTAAGAGAATGTTCTTCTGTGTAAACTCACATAGGCTATTTAAAGATAGTATTTAATGATGGTTGAATAATTCAGGGTATGTCTACAAAAACGGTGCAGGCAAACACAAGCTCAGTTTGACTGCATTCTGAGCTGTTTGCGTGCGGGCCTAGACACAGTAAAATGGTGCTAGCATAGCAGTGTGTGCTAGCTAACACACCTGCCCTCTGTGCTAGAAGTGGCTCACTTCTGGCTGTCTTAAAGTGAGCAGGGTGCATAGCTTTTTGCAAAGTAGGTAAACTATATATATACACACATCTGTGTATATATATCTTTTTAAACATAATTGTGGTTAACTGATTAAATTGAGCCTTACTGCTACCAGACTGCTTTTTTTATGGGAGCAGGACTGTGTTTAGATCTATGAAGCAACAGCTGGGCTCTTTGAGGGCTCTTGCATTATGAACTAGCAATTGTCTTTTTCAAGGCTGTTTCCATTTTGTGTTAAGTGCTTAACACATATAACCTGAGAGCTTCCTTTTGATCTCTGCTCACCTGTTGCCTTGAGGAGAACTAGAGTTTGGTTTCAGTGTTGATGCAAAACTCTGAAATTTTCTTTGGTCTGGCAACAGGTATGCTGCTGTATTTGGCAGGAATTACTTAGAGAGGGCTTTGCTAGAAGAACTAAAAATATCTCAGAGAAGTCAAATAATTTTCTCTTTTTCATTCTTTACTGAACATGTTTTAGCTCTTTGCAGTAGATGTTATCTAATTTAATATGCAAGTTGAATGCAGGTTGTGTGCCAGAAAGGTTTGCTAAAATGTTTAGCAAGTCAGTCAGTTACTGAGTTCAGTGACTGATGTGCTTGACAATTTATTTGAAACTTACTTGTTACTCAGCATATAAATACTAAGGTATGGTGGGGAAAATTCAGCTGTGTTTTGCCTGGTAAGTGTAGCACATATGCTTCTTTGTTAAAAGTGTTCAGGAGAGTGGGTGGCTAAAATATTTGAGTTATCCAAATTACGAGGGATGCGGGGATGAGGACTGATTGCTACTTAAAGTTGGCATGAATTTCAAAGCATTAAAAGAATACGAGTGAAGTGTCACATAGATTTCTTTTTAAATGCTTTAAATAAAGTGGAATGTCTGAAAGGCTGTTTTGTTTCCTCTTACCTTCAATTTGAACAAAAGGAATAATACTAATCAGTTTTATTTTTACATTTTGGAGTATTTTTAATTTAAGAAGTCTTAATGCATCGAAACTGTAGTGTTTAGTCTGAAGACAATGAATGAGAGCACTTGTTAGCTAGTTGAATGAAATAAGGCACCATTTCTATTAATCAAATTCTGTAAGCATTTTATTTTTCAAGAAAATTGCTGGAGCATGGGGAGTGAGGAAAAGACAGAACTGAGCAATGTATTTTTGACACAGTATTTTGAGATTTGGCTCTGTGCAAGTCATTCTCTGATATCTCTGAACTGTAATCCCTAGTGGTATCACTTCTGAGAGGGAGGTTGTTAGAACGTAGAGGAGAGCTTGCGTGGGCCTGCACTCCAGCTAGTGAGCAGTCCCAGAGCATCTTAAAGTATGGTACAAAGATGCAAAGTTTACTGTCTCTCCCCTTTTGTTTGTGTCAGTTTGTTATAATAGATTATGCAATGAATTTTATTTGGACTTTTATTGCTGTTTGGCCTTGTTACATAAAGTTGTTGTGTTACCCTTACACTTTGAACTGCTGGTATTGTAATCATGATGGCTATAGCATGCATTAAAAAAATTACCTTTTGTGGGTTAAACTGGAGGTTGGGTTGTTGGGTAGTAAAGTTTTATGTAGAAGTACTTGTTTAATGTGTAGTATAATTGCTACCCTTATGCAACAAATACTATAAAAATAAGGGAGGAGCTATAGGCTACAGATGAAGAAAAAAAGAAGAGTGAAGAGCTGTTGTAAAGGACTGCTGTCTGTCAGAAGCATGGAGGGGGCTAGAATGGGACATGACAGGGGATTGAGATACATGCCAAGGGCTGCAAACTGCCTTAAACAGAACTTCATGAAGAGGGTGTCAGAAGCTTAGGTGGTAGCAAGCAGCCCAGGGAATAGGCTGCCTCTTTAATTTAGAGAACTGGAGATGAGGATGCATTTGGCTTCTTTTATTATATCTCCCTACTCTGTAGAGTTGTGTGGTTTATGATTTTAGGGAGTAGGCCATAGTCAACAATCATGCTTTGTTTTTCATTGCATCATCTACTTGCAATGGGCAGGGGAAAAGAGCTGTTCCAGAGGGAAGGATTATACAACATTTTTACCTAAGTTGCATATATTATACCTGGTGAATAAATGCATAGGCTATGTCTTGAACTCTGATACCAATGTGTATCTTTAATTTTCAGGTAAACTTTTAAACATCATTTCTTTGAGATAAAATGTCACATACTTGTTCTCTTAAAATGGCTACTGATTAGTTCACACTGTGTTAACATCTATCTCTCAACATATATCTCTCTGTACACGTAGAGGATGCAAAACTGCAAATAACTGTTTGTAAATATTAACAATATTGAGTTAATATTCTATGCTTTTGTCTCCTTTTCACTCAGAACTGGATTTACAGTCATGGAGGAACATCAACAGCATTTACACTGTGTGAACTGTGTCAGCCGTCGTTGTATGACCAGACCAGAGCCTGGCATTTCCTGTGATTTGATTGGCTGCCCGTTGGTTTGTGGAGCAGTTTTTCACTCATGTAAAGCTGAGGAACATCGCATGTTATGTCCACTTGAAAGAGTGCCTTGTTTGAATAGTGGCTTTGGATGTCCCTTCATAGTAGCCCGAAATAAAATTGCTGATCATCTAGAAGTTTGTCCTGCAAGTGTGGTATGTTGTACCATGGAGTGGAATAGATGGCCAGTCAGTTACGCAGACCGAAAATCTTACGAAAATCTGAGTAAAGATGTTGATGAAGTGGAACAGCTAGATATGGCTTTAGCCCTTCAAGACCAGCGCATGTTATTAGAATCACTTAAAGTAGCAACTATGATGTCAAAAGCAGGTGATCAAATACCGGAATCCAGAGAGCAAACCTCTGTCAAATCAAGTGCCCCAGATACAGTGCATTCAAATGGTTTGATGCCTGTAGATGAAGAGTCCTATGGTGCACTTTATCAAGCTACTGTAGAAACAACAAGGAGTTTAGCGGCTGCTCTGGATATCCTGAACACTGCTACAAGGGACATTAATACGTTAAGTTCAAGGCTCTGCATTTCACCACATGAAATGAAAGAAGATACTGAGATTAAAGAACAAGCTTCTAATGGCATTGTTCAGGATAAAAAGTCTGACCATGAATATCCAGATGAAGATAACATAGGAGCAGTTGGGGGAATTAACTTTGATAGCCTGAGTCAAAATTCACAAATGGAGCAAAATGGTTCTAGTGATATTTGTTATGATGTAGTGCAAAAACATGACCTAAAGTTAAACCTCAATAACTCCTCACTTTTGTGTAATGGCTTTCATGTAGAAAATGAACGTTCAAAGGTGTTGGACCAGAATGAAGATCTTGGTGTATCTAATTCAAAACCATCCAGTGTAGCAAATGGTGAATGTACTGCATCTCACAATGATGAAGCATTACAGTCTTGCAGCTCCTTCCCTGTAACAGCACAATTTAATGAAGTACTATCAGCTGATCACTTAGTTAATGGCAATGTTAATCATGTACTACTTCCCCATAATGCTAATGAAGAAGAAATGTTAGAGAGACAAGTGGAGCAAGAAAGATTGAGAAACATAGATGCGTTTTCACTTTTACGGCATCGATCATACAAATTCCTTGTTAACCACTATTGGTCTACACCAAAAGAAGACAAAGCTGTTGATACATCAGATTTGGAGATAACAGAAGATCCTATGGGTCTTCAGGGGATTGATCTAATCACTGCAGCTCTGTTGTTTTGCCTAGGAGACTCTCCTGGAGGTAGGGGGATATCAGAAAGTCGCACTGTTGATGTGTATCACGTTGACTTTGGGACCCAAACATTTTCTCTCCCATCTGCTATATTGGCCACAAATACAATGGTGGGGGAAATAGCTTCAGCTTCTGCATGTGATCATGCCAACCCACAGCTCTCAAATCCAAGTCCATTCCAGACCCTTGGACTGGATTTGGTATTGGAATATGTGGCTAGATACCAAACAAAACAGCGTTCAATGTTTACATTTGTTTGTGGACAGTTGTTTAGGAGGAATGAATTTTCATCACATTTTAAGAATGTGCATGGTGACATTCATGCTGGCCTTAATGGCTGGATGGAGCAGAGGTGTCCTTTGGCATATTATGGGTGTACATACTCTCAGCGAAGGTTTTGTCCTTCAACACAGGGGGCAAAAATTATTCATGACCGCCACTTACGGTCATTTGGAGTTCAGCCCTGTATATCCACAGTATTAGTAGAACCAGCAAAAAGCTGCTTAATTGGACTACACAATGACCATCTGAGTAGTCTACCTTTTGAGGTTCTGCAGCACATTGCTAGTTTTCTAGATGGCTTTAGTTTATGTCAGCTTTCAAGAGTGTCACGTTTAATGAGGGATGTGTGTGGAAGCTTGCTTCAAGCACGTGGAATGGTGATACTGCTTTGGGAGAAGAGAAAGTACCCAGATGGAAGTTGTTCTTGGCAGATAAAGGAAAAGGTAAGTTATTTTTTATTTTGAAGGTAAAAGGGAATGTATTAAATGGGTCGTGTCTCTGCTTTTTCCCTTAATAGTTTCCTTGATCGCTATTGTTATTACTGTTTTTTGATATAATATCCCATCAAGAAACAGATTGTCATATAGAACAGCAATTAGTGAAAATTGCTAGCAGGTTGGTTCAGTCTTCTCCACACTTGAAGTAGAAATTAAAGTAGTGTCTGTCTAGTTTTGACTCAATATAAGTAAACTAACCTCTGATTTTCCCAAGATTTTAAAATATTAAATGATTACTTCATGATTTTCTTTAATATCAATATTCCATGAAAGTGGGAAAGTTGCCTACAAAGTTTGCTTTTCTTGCCTTCATACTGTTTACAGCAATTTTAATTTTTCCTCATCTGTTGAGATCCTATCCATTGCCATGATACTGAGTGCCTTAAGTATGTAAATAATTCTTAAAACCTTTGGGGGACCTCTGTATCGTACCGTTTTTACCATTCCCCCCTCCTGCCCGCAAACTGCAGAGTATCTGCAGCAATCATTTGGAATTGCAGGAGTTGATCATTTCAGAAATGGATCATTGCAACTGGTCGTGCAGTACTTCCTCATTTAGCTTCTGACTGCATTTACTTTATAGATGCAAGAAGTATTGCCTGCCTTTTTTCCCCAGTGTTCAGAGTTGACTTGGAATCTGAATCAGCCTGGGACTGGCTATACAAAATTTAGCATTGTACGTTTTTTGTCATGTTGACCTTTAGTATGATTTATAGTAGCTGTAAAACTTTGCTTGAAAGTATTATAGCACAAACATTTAATTTCCTGCTCTGAGTTCAGGTATCTCAAAACGTTTTGAGCCTAAGTGCAACTTATTTTCTAGGTTTGGCGCTTCAGTACAGCCTTCTGTACTGTGAACGAGTGGAAGTTTGCTGACATCGTAAGCATGGCTGACCACTTGAAGAAATGTAGCTATAATGCTGTAGAAAGAAGAGAGGAGGCTGTTCCGCTGCCATGTATGTGTGTAACGCGAGAACTCACTAAAGAAGGACGTTCACTGCGCTCTGTTTTGAAACCAGTACTTTAAATATTGCAACCACTCCAATTGCACATACACTCAAGCACCTGATAAACCTCGGTAACATTATGTGACACTTTATTAATGTACTAAAGATACTTTCTAGCTAAATCTACTCTGTCACTGTGTACATAAGGTTTGAAGTGACATTTATTTTTTATAATACTGTTTAGCTGGAAAGTAATGAAAGTTGCCTTAACGTTTGAAAAATTTGGAACTTGCTGGACAGGGTAGTTTTATCTAACTTATATAATTTAAGAACAAAATCCTAAGGTGTGTTTTCTGATTCACTGGTGCCCATGTTGCTGTTGACTGATAACATTTCGAAAATGGCCTCTAAATGGTATGCACATTTAGATAGGAAACACTGAATTGTAGTGAGACAAAATCCTGACCAAATGTGCTTTCTGTATTTGGTCTATTTTTTTTAACAAATTATAATCCAAATATTTGAAAGATAAGGAGGAATTCAAAACTTTATAGTAGATGTCTCAAACACAGCTTTTAAGCGCATCTTTTCTCATGAAATCGGTATTCTAGTGCTCTTCCTAGTTAACAGGTGATCTAGGAGCAGCTTTTTCTTTAATTTTTTTTTTTAGGAATGAATTAAGTGAACTCAGATTTACAGCAGCTTAATTTTTAGTACAACTTTATTTTGACATGTCAACAATTATTATTTTTCTTCTGAACTATTAACAGTTACTTCACTTCTGGGAGCAAAACTTTTAGAGCTAAAAACATGGAATACTAGTTTTTACTCTCGCACCTACAATGACATTGATATAAAATGTTTAAAATGTTTTTCCTTGTCCTGCAGTTGGTTGAGGGTTAAATTGCTTGAGCAGTCAGAAATTCAGAGTATGTGATGAACAGTTACGAATTTATAATGCAGCTAATGAAAGGGCTTTACTTGTTTTATGGTATTGTGAGATGTATTGTCTCCTTTTCTGTTAATTTGTCTATAAAAATGCTGCTTTTCTGAGGAGCATTTTAAATTACTGGTATGTATAGCAAATGTATCATCTTCATAAGATGAGACATGGTTTGTTAATTGCATAAGGCGTATCAGAAATGTATGTTCAACCACATCTGTTAAATGAACAACTCCAATTTGCTTCCAGTCTTCCATAATGAAAGATCTTACAAAGCATTTGTGAACAGAGAATACATGCTATGAAAAATGGCCTGGTATAGCAAAACTGTAATAACTTGAACTGACTTTCCAACTTGTTTGTATTAACGTTGGTGTCTCTAGCCTGTTGCACTTAGCAACTGTGCCACAAAGCTAAAACAGAAACAGACCAGAGCTTGGAACAAAGAAATACAGTACGTATTTCCATTATAGGAAAAAATAAGAGATTAGTAAGGAGGAGATGTTTACAAACATGGCTAAATTTATTACTTGTAATTTCTGTACTGGACACTTGTTATGGCTAGTCTGGCTGCAGTTCACAACTTTGGTATCTGTACATTTCCCATTCTGGGTCCAGTCCAGCTAAACATTCACTGCCTTTTTCTATCCAGAGTGCTACAGGTGCCCAGGAAAAAAAAAAAAATCTAGTTCTTCAGTGCCATGAGTTGAAATTACAAGAGCTCAGACAAAAGCTGAAACAGAAGCTCAGTCTGGATCTTCAAACTACATGTTCTCTTTCCACTCTTTCTCTTTTTTTGTTTGGAAAGAGGAAAGGAGTAAACCCTCTACAGAAGTTAGCAATATTTGCAGTAATTCTTAGCTGTTACCACAGTTATGTGGAAAGGAGAATCTAGATTCATGTACAAATCTGACTATACCAACTGGGTTTTAGGTAGGGATTTTAACACCCTCCTGCCCCCTCCCTGTTCTCCGAGTGCATTGAAATGCTCATTACCCACACATTCTTTAGTACAAGGCAGGAGGCAGACTTTCATCAGTTCTTGTCTTTTAGCTCTAATGGCTCCTTGCTGCTGCTCTCCAGCGTTTAAAAGTAGTTGTGTGACTGGAAGGATCCTGAATGTTGAGGAGTTTATGGTTGCGATTATGGCTAAATTGACTTTAAAAAATCTGTCTTGGGTTACTGGTATTTTTTTAGTCAGCAATGTGGTGGTTTTGGTACTCGGCA